AGAAGGTTGAATGATTTTTCTAGGATGGTGTTTCCTGCTGACACTCAACAAGAACAAAGAAAGTAGCTTCCTCCTTTAGGGCTGTTTCTTTCTCTAGGCAAATTTAGTTGATGAAGAGATTGACCAACTCAAACTCATATAGCGAGTTTATGAATTTCTTTTTAAACTGGGGAACAGCCCATCATTCTTACCATCCCCATGTTGCCACTGATGAGAGGGGTGAGTTGTGAATACTCTCTGCAGATTGCCTGGAAAGTTCATGCCTGGGGGGTGAGGTGAAATCTCAAGCAGAAAACCCATTGGACTGCCTTTCTTTATGAAATTGTACACACAACGTATCTGTTGTTGTTAATATTTTTTTCCATTCCCTTTTCCCCCTTTTTGCTGCATACTCTTTAGTTAAAATGTCTTTTTCTCTCCCCCTTTCCACTAAGCTCATCATTCTTTACATTCCACTGAGGGGAATGATGAGGAAATTATGTGTCCAGCCACATTTACTTTTTGTTTTCCAAACTTATGGGCTCTTTAATTGGCTCTCTTTCTTATTCACATGATAGAAATGAAGGAAATGGTTGCAGGAGGGAGCAGATCCGTGTGTTGCTAAGACACATCCTCTCCAGGTTTCAGGCTACTCATTCTTGTATTCATGGCAGTTTCTGGGCCCACTTCAGCGCCTCCTCTTAGGACAATGGGTAACCTTTCAGAACCATGTGCTGCTTCTTTGAAATCGTCTTGGCGCACAGATTTTTCTGGCAGCGAGAGAAACTAAGCACTGTCTTATTAGTGCTGACAGCTGGCCAGGCATGAAAGTACCTCTGGGACTGTTTTAAATTTCAGAAACGGAATGGTCTGAATCCCAAATCTAGTCACGATGTTTGTTAGGTGCCTTTAGTCCAGTTCTCCCTTCTCTCTTTTTCTTTCGCTTTCTTATTCTAAGATGAGGACTGTTATGAGGATAATCCATCAAGTACATCACACTGAGCTCTTTAGAAGAAGAGGGAGCAATACCAATGTGGGAGAAGACATTTTATTTGTTCACTTACTTCCTCTGTGTGTCCACCAACTTTTGCAGTCATTTTTCCTTCTCTTGCTTATGGTTCTATGTTATTTGACTGTCTTTGAGAAAACATTTGTCTTTCATATAAGTTTGAAAATGATGTTCTACATGTATGTCCTGCCATCTAAGGTGGTCACAGGGGAATACATACATAGGTTATCTCATCTTATAGTTTATTTCAAGCTGGTCTTTTGTCTGAATAGATCCTCAGGCCAACCCACAAAGGTTAAAAAACAAATGCAACATTCAGATAGTTCAATCAAATGTACTATACAACAGATTAATGTTAAAAATTTATGATACATGGAAGCAGTTTTTTTTAAAAGCCTGGATGTAATGTATGCTATTCCAGTGGATTGTGGGACAAGGCATTCACTGAGTGTCTAGGCCCATTCCTCTCTTCACATTAGCACTCAGTATATAAGGAGGTTGTAGAAGAAACTATTAGTTAATACTTAATAAACACATCTAGATTGGTATCTTCTTAGTGACATATGCATGCTATGTCATGCTGTGCATGTGGGGGGTTAACGGTGCAACAGATGTTTTCTACCGATAGTGAAGGAAGTGAAGTTGTTCATACAATTAACATTGTGTACTGTGGGTGTGCACTGAAGTTGTGCGTTGCAGTTGTGCACTTCACATTGCAGTTGTGCATTGTGGTTGCACATTGCACAACAGCACTCAGTCATTGTCTTGTGTTGTGCAATGTTGCTATTTTGCACAAAGGTTATGTAGTGCTGGCATAGTGTATCTCCATATGTGGCTATTTATATTATGCAGAGGGGATGTTGGGATTGCAGCCCTAGTGGCATAATTTAGAAATGCAGAGCTAAATCTTATACCACGTAGGGATTTGTGCAAGCTCAGGTCTAAAAACCATTGGCTGTTCTATAGTAGAGAGAGCCAGCATGGTGTAGGACTAGGACACTGGGTGACCTTGGGCAAGTCACATGCTCTCAGCCTCAGGGGTAAGTAGTGGCTAACCACCTCTGAACAAATCTTGCCAAGAAAACCCCATGATAACCTTAAGGTCACCATCACTTGAAAGCACACAGCAGCAGCAGTCTTGTTGTCTAAAGCTTGGCAAAAAGAATTTTCTTTACCCTTCAGATAGCATTCCTCCTGAATGAGAGAGATTTATATAAGAATGTAGAGACAGAGGCACATGTGCACACATCTGTGGAAATTTTGTTCCCACCATTTGGTCCTAAGATAACATACAAGGAGGAAAAAAAAGGAATTACAAACAATGAGATAAAAGTCAAATACAGTTGTAATCAAAACAGCAGCATGAGAGTGGCGTAAAACAACTGGGTCAATTTAAAAATATGTCTGCACAGCAGGAAGTTACAATGGATTAAAAGCACAGTGAGGAAAGACGGTTAGATGAAAGAAAATGTCCAAAGCTACCTACTGAGCTTTGTGACTGTGGAGATTTTAACCCAGGTCTATGCATTCCATATTTGACACCCTAACTGGCTTTTTAAAATTTCTCTTTAAGGAATATGAAATTGTTATTGTTACAGGTTGGTTCTGCTCCATAAACCACTAAAGATATGATGAAGGTTGGATACCTCCTTTTTGCCTTCAAGAACATTAGAAGAGGAGCCTATAGCTTCTAGGTAACTAAGAAAATAAAAATATGCTTATGCCACTGAGCTTACAGCCAGAAGTCCAGCTGTGGGCTGATTCACACACATCAAAGAATCATAAAATCATAGAGTTGGAAGAGACCACAAAGGCCACATATATTATGACCTACAATTGATTGTGTGAATGTGGACCAGCATTGGAAAGCACTTGGCTTCGAAAAGAAATGAACGCTTGGCCTCTTGTGTTTGAATAAGAAAATTTGTTAACAACTATAAGCTGCCATTCTAACATTGCAACAGCCACCAACATAAGTCATTTCAGTTTAGGATGTGTTATCTAACTGATGTTATTGATGTTTTCACCATCCTTCATTATTGGCCATGCTGGCAAGGGCTCACAGGATTTGCAATCAATTGACATCTGGAGGGCTTTATGTTGTCCATGTCTGTTTTAGCTCTTGCTCTCTGGAGCCGAGTGCTATAGCCTGTTTGAAACGCTAGCACCTGGTTTTGATCTGCACAAAATAAGAATGGAGTGTGCCCCTGGGCATGTGCAGGCTGTATTTTCTTAACCCATAAGTTACCACAGCTTGCTAGCACACACTTGAAACTGGACAGGTGTGAACTGTGGGTACACTTATGCAACAGAAAGATTAAGAAGTGTGCCAAGGGCAAGATGAAAAGGGTGGGGTTCAAATAAACAGTCTAAGCCACTGGGACTGAAATTTGCTTGTTAACGTTCCTTGCTTCAGACAAATATCGAATTGGGAGCCCTGCTTTCTTGTTTAGTTTCCACTCATTATATTTAAGATTTCATAACTAACTTTTTAATTAAATGCCCTGCTGATTCTGCCTTTAATGACAGTATGTGTGCAAGGCTGTCTTCAGGAATATAAATGTTTTTTAATTTTCATGTTGTTCCCTTAATGGTCCTTAGTTGCCGCTATGGCCTCTTTGACACCTTGGAACAGCTGTTCGTTCTCTTCTCCTCTTTGTTTGTGATTTGTTTTTCTTCCACTACCTGAGTTTGAGAATTAAGAATTGTGTTGTAAACAGTGCTTTCCTAGCAAAATGCAAAGTCAGGAACACGTGCTGCTGTATTTACAGGAAACACTGTGGGTTTATTACCCAAAGGACAGGCATCGTATGGGTGGTAATTTAAAGGCCCGGGATGTGTTGAAATGCGTCTGAATATAAATTGATCAGCATTATGGTGTAGTTCTTAATATTTGCTTATAAGCCATTTATTTTCTTTCTGCTTTGAGCTATACAATACAGAAAATTGCAATATGAAAGATAATTCCTAGATATGTATGACTTACCTGGCTTCTGCTTTTCTCAGTGAAGATTTAGATCGAGTTATTCTTATGGTGACCCCAAGAATTTCATAGGGGTTTTAAAGGCAAGGAGACTTTGGAGGTGCTTTTGCCAGTTCCTTCCTCTGAAATATAGCCTGTAGAGCTGGTATTCATTGGCAGTCTCTCATCCAAGTGTTTACCAGAGCTGACCCTGCTTAGCTTCCAAGATCAGATGGGATCTGGTGCCTTTACAGTATTTAGGCTGCCCTTATTGGGCCAACCAGAAGGAGCAAAATACATTATGCGAGATGTTGAAGCTCACAAGCTTCTTCATCAGGCATGGATGTTAAAGGTCATTTTAGGGGAAGAAATGGGATGATGGGAGGGGAATCTTTTTGAGAAGCAGCTTGTTGGCCTAATTTGGTTGGTCTAATACAGGGGTAGGCAACCTAAGGCCCAGGGGCCGGATGCAGCCCCCCGAGGCCTTCGGACCGCCCCCAGGCTGGTCCTGCCACCGCCGCCACCACAGGGGTTTTGCCATGGCTTTTCTGGGGCTGAGAGAGTGTGCATGCATATTTTTTAATTTTTTAAATTTTTTTAAAAATATTTTTATTTATTTATTTATTTATTTATTTTTGGTGCTTCAGCCCTCCAATTGTCTGAAGGACAGCAACCCGGCCCCCGGCTCAAAAAGGTTGCCTACCCCTGGTCTAATACCTTGGACAAGTCACATGCTCTCAATGGCAAATCTCTTCTGAACAAATCTTGCCAAGAAAACCCCATGATAGGATCACCAAAAGACAAAAATGACTTGAAGGCACATAACACACACATACATGTTATGAGCAGCCTTGGGTCCTGTAGTGAGAAAAGGGTGGGAATGTAAAAATAAATATTATGTTGTTGTCATATGTGCCTTCAAGTCATTTCCAACTTCTGGCGACCTGTCATGGGGTTTTCTTGGCAAGATTTGTTCATTGGAGGTTTGCCATTGCCTTTCCCTGAGGCTGAGAGCATGTGACTTGCCCAAGCTCACCAAATGGGTTTCCATGGCTGAGTGGAGACTTGAACCCTGGCTTCCAGGGTCCTAGTCAAACACCAAAACCACTACGCCACACTGGCTCCCATAGATATTTTGTTTTTATGTTAAATTATTTTTGTTAGTTCTCATATGTCATGATTTTATGTCAGCCTCAGAAAAGCTCATAATAGGCTAGCCCTAGGGTCACCATAAGTCCGAAATTACTTAAATTACTTTAAAAACTACAAAATTATAGCACTGAAGGCAGCCCCTGGTGATGTCATTCAACATGCTATCTTAAGCATTGAGCACAGTTGCACAGAGTATGCCATTCAAATAAAAAACACAAAGTCTAACAAATGAAGAAAATATTTATACACATATCTATCAAGGCAGAGGTCTCACACTGAGATTTCTTCCCCTCAGACTGGAGAAGGTAGGCCAGGCCCTGAGATCTGTAAACATGCCAGATAAATTGATTTAGATCAACTGATCTTTCTTTAATTTCACGACAGCCATGCCACTTTGTCAGAGACAACATTGCCTATTTTCACAGAAACATAGGCTCTTACGTTTCTGCCTCAGTTTTGTCCATGTCTCCTCTGAGAGCAAATAAATTTACAATTGTTTCTGTGTTGAGAGTGGCCATTAATGTTTCCAAACTTTGGATCTGTTTGCATTCAGCACAACATTGTAGCTGGATTTCTAGTTTCCTGGAAGGAGTGGAGAGCACATTTTTATTCATATGAGCCACACCATCCAGTTTTCGGCCCTACGGCACCTGGAAATTGAGACTGGAAGTGATAATTGAGGGGTGAGTTTTAGCTGTTTTGGACACAGTTTTTTGCCTGTTAAGGAAAAAAAATAAGAATATGTAGAAGGATCCACTCTTTTCCCTCCTGAAGATGTGTGGGCCACTCTGTCACCAGACAGTATTAAGTGGCCTCACACATCAGCTTTCAGCATAGACACCTTTTGAAAGAAATATATGCATAGACACACATGTGAATATATATAGAGTGAGTGTGTGCGAGAGAGAGAGAGGGAGAAAAAAATTCTGGTCACAATTTATTTTGGGTTCTGTTTCTCACAGCATGTTTCTGTGTGTTCACCAAGGCTGTGCATCTAAGAGCCCAAATGTTTACTGTGATTTTGGGGGCCATCTGGTATGTGGGAGTTGTTTCCTAATTTTAGGCCAATGGCAATTGCCTATGGAGGGGTGAAGTAGCAGAGTAGGGGGACGGAATTAGTAGTCATCTGCAAAGAGGTTCTCAGGAAAAGAAGTTGTGCGGAAAGTGGCATTGCTCAGGTCAGGAAGTAGCTCTTCAGCCATCTTGTCACTATTAGAGGCATCTAAAGCATGGGACAGTTAGTGTTTAACTAAATTGAGAAGAGAAGTTTTACTTTCTCTCATTCTTCCAGGTGTTGTTATGTGTTGCTGAGATGCCCCCCTTTGTCTTTTTGTTAGCATGGCTTTTGGTTTACTCTCACTACAAGCTGTAACTGAGCTTTAATTATGGATAACAGTTTCAGGCTTCAGGCAACAAGCCCAGAGGGTTAGAGACCAGTTCTGTGCACCTTATAACCCGCCCTGCACCCATTAAACTAGATTGCTCCCAGCCTCAGGTGTGGGAAAAGACATTGTCCCATTGCCAGTGTTAAAGTGAGGTTCAAGTGCCAATTAGGTTGGCTTTTATACTTGGAATGCGGGTAGGAGGGGAGAAACAGGAGTGCAGGGGTGCCATCTTGTTCTTCACTGGAGGCAGCAAAACGTCTTGGCCTAAAGTTCTTGACCATCTGTTTTCAAGTGCAAGCACCTTGGATGCTGGGGCCCTATGTTGTAAGGCACCATGGGGCCTTATGGTGTAGTAAAGAAAAATTAACTTGCAACATCTCCTGTTCTGATTATGCCGAAGGAAGAAGCCAGTAATGGCCAATGTGTATACTTTCAAAGGGAGAGCGTCCATGTTTCTTTGATATTGTTGCTTTGCATGTAACCTGAGTTCTTTATTTGTGTGCCTACAACAGTACAAGCTGGCTCCTTTGCTCACTTGCTTGAAGTTAGCCTCGTCGAATAGACTGGGAGTTACTTTTGGATAAACAGGCCTTGTGTTATTTGCCTGTGTAAACTCGCTTCCATTCCATACAAAGCGACTACTAAAATTGCATACTGGGACTTTTTTGTGGGTCCCTATGCTTTTTATATATATATTTTGTTATAGTCTAATGAGGAATGTTGATAAACTCAAAAGCTTACTAATCCTTTTGTGAATTTTTAGCCAGTCCTAGTACCTACTGGCATGGCTATCATTGGACTGGGAGGGCCAGTGCCTACTGCCACGTGCTCAGCCCCACTTTCCCACACCATCTTTGGGGTGAAAGAGTCAGATTACATGCTAAACAGAAACAGCATTTCTATTTAAGAAGCCTTGTCCCCTGGCAGTTGATCTTTCCATGCCACCCTGCCGCCGCTGCAAAATGAAAGACACCCGGATGGGACATAGGAAGCAACCTTATGCCAAACCAGGCTAGATCTCAGCAGCAGCCTCCTAGAGTTTCAAAGGTATTTATTTATTTATTTATTTATTTTACACTCTGCATTTCTCCTGACATGGGACCCAAGAAGGCTTACAACATTGTAAACAAAGTATGTTAAAAAAAGAATGCTGTTTCCTGCAAAAGTTTAAAAAAATAAACAGTTCTATTAAAAACACTAAATTACAACAGCTAACAACACATTAAAACAGAGTAGAAAGATAAAAGCGTAATGCACTCTATTAAAAAGGTCATTGTGACAAAAAACAAAGGCCTGCTTAAATAAAAAGGGCTTTACCTGTTGGTAGAAAGAGAGTAGAAAGGAGGCCAACCAAGCCTTCTGTGGGAGGGAATTGTCCAAGTTGGGAAGAGCCACCAAGAAGGCTCAGTATTATTATTTTATTTCGTTTTTATGCTACTTTTCTTCCAGGTAGGGACCCAAAGTTTACTCAAACCTCTTGCAAAGCTAATTTCCCCAATTTTTGAAGTAACACAGACAATTGATGGGGACCCCCCC